AAGTGATCAGTCTTTTCCCAAGCATGAGTTTATTTAAAAAGTGGTCTTTATTCAGTCTGTGAGGAAGACAGAAATAACAGATGTGTTAATAAGCCAAAGTTTCCATTTCTCTGAGGAGACGAGGCTGCCCATCACCTTTCTATTTTTCTCCCAGGCTGTGGAAAGGCCCTTTACACTCAGCTGTAACATTCACTTTGTCACAAGAAGGCAAAACAATGTCAAGTGTGAGTAATGACCAGGGACCAGTAATTTGCTAAGATGGACACACAGGCCAGACAGGTCAGAGCACATTCCTGAAAGTGACGTCCTCGTCCTCGGCCTGCTTGTGAGATGGATAGGATGCCCAGGGGCCCAGCGCTCAGCTGCTGCCCTCTGGCTGGGAGAAGAGGTCCAAAGCAAGAAGTTTTGGAAATAACTTGGCTTCTAGTTTGCAAGTCATTCAATTCATGTTATGGTCCATCTAAGTCATATTGGCAGCTGGATGTGTGACCAGATGCCCATCCTGGCCTCTGGGGCCAGGGGCTGACCGTGGCAGTTTACCACTGTCAGTTTGGATTTATGTTGAACTGGGTTTCTGCTGTTATTCCCTGAGAGCCCTTCCTGACCAAGGGATTTTCTTCTTTGCACAGATCCGTCCTCAGTGTCTAGGATGACCAGATACTCCAAATATTCCGTAATAGACCCAATTCCAAAATTCCATCTTTCTTCCTTCCTTTTGAACGTATTTGTTGAGCATCTGTTTATGCTGATTATCGCGGATAGAGCAGTGAACACAGCGGACACAGTCTCTGCCCCATAGAGCTTATTTTAAGTTCATGTATTCTGATTTAGAGTTGGAAAAATATATAGTCACCTACCACTGCCTCGTATGCTAACTCTCCAAGGGCTGTAAAACCCTCATGGCAGGAATTTAGGCTGAGTTGCTGTTCTGCAGTTTTTCCTTCTTTCTGAGGCACTTGCCGCTAAATATATCTTTAGGGAAACAGCCGCAGCATAAGCCTGTAAGTAAATTTTAAGTGAGGAGTCCCTCGCTGGGAACAGCTTAACTGAGAGATTCTGTATAGGTTTTACTGACTATGCCTGTTGTTAATTCTGTTGCATTTCACAGAGGGACTATGGGATGCCCTTTCAGTGGGTCATCTCCTTTTCCTTTCCTTGGCAATAACTTTCTTTTCATTCTATGCATTTATCAGGGCTTTTGTTTGCAAGGTGTTTTCCCTGGTATTGTTTCATGCCTAGGAGCCTTTTAAAGGCCTAGTGTACATTTTTTAAAAATTTTATTTTTTTAATGCCAAGCAGCATTATGAAGAAGTTTTAAAAAAACTTTTAATTATGGAGAATTTCAAACATATACAAAAGGAGACTGAATCAAGTGATGACTCATTGACCCTTCACCCAGCCCCAACCACCCTCAAGCCGTGGTCAGTCCTGCCCGTCCACACCCACAGCCACTTCCTCTACCCTGTACCCTAGATGTCATAAATATTTAGGCATGTTTCTCTAAAAGATAAAGACTATCTCTTAATATAATCACCATGCTATTATCATGCCTAAAAAATAATGTTTATCTTATTGGGAGATGTTCTAAAGCATATGAGAAGAGAAAAATTCAGCCACACAGTGCCAAACGTATTGGCTCTTCTCTTTTTTTTCTGTGTTCTCTAGTTTTTGAACAGAAGTGTACTGACATTTTGTAAAAATGATAGCTGTCTCGGTTCCTTTGCACCGCTTCTGGACATGGAGTTTCTGATCAGGGCAAACAGCAGCTCCCTGCCCCTCCATCTAAGAGGAACAAAGCTTGGTCTCTTCAGCTGGATCATATGTACATACCGGGGTAATTCCCCAGACCCTCTGCCAACTTCTCAAGCTCCTATTCATTCAGCAAATATTCATTGAGAAACTCATTGCCTGTCCATCACTGTTAGATGCCGGGGATTTCAGTGGAAGAGAAGACAAGGCCCTGGACTTCTTAGAACTTCTGTTGATAGGGGAGCAGACCTTACATTGTGGTTGTGGTTAGTGCTGTAGAGACTTAACCAGTCTGAAGGCTCAGTGAAGACGCCCTTAAGGGAGGGGCATTTCAGCCCAGCAGTGGGCACTGCAGGCAGAGGGAATAGCCTGGGAAATGCCCTAAGGCAGGAAGGAGGTGGGCTGAGAAAGGAACAGAAAGGAGGCAGTGAGGCTGGAATGGGATGGGGGGTGAGGGGGAGATGGAGCGCAGGAGAGAAGAGCCTTCCCTTCCCAGACCCACCTCTTCCCAGGGGCCCTGGACCCGAGGGTCAGGCTCTTGGCTTCCTGGCCCCTGAGGTCTGGGCTGCCACATGGAGATGTGAGTTCCAGTTCCTCTCCCGACTCTCCACTATTTTGAAGGCATTGTAGTCAAGGAAAGAGCCTACATCTGGAGAGACGCAGACAGGCAGTCCTATGCTGCCACCTTGAAAGAACTAATAATAGTTACAAGTAGGGTGAGTGTGAGGATTAAAGAAAATATTGTGTGATAAAATGGCTAGACAACAAATATTTTTCCCCTTCTCTTTCTTAATAAACACTCCTTCCCTTACCCTGTCACAGCCCAGCAGCTCCTCTTGCTGCCTCGGGAATCCCATCCTTGTGGAGTGGCCCACGCTGATGGCCCTGCTCCTGGGCACAGTCCTGTGCTGGGCCCTTCCTTGTGAGTCTTTCATTCAGACCCTAACTTTTTGATAATTTTTTAGTTTTAGTTTTTTGAAAATTGGAATAAAAATTATTAATGCAGAAATAATACCTGCGTTTTTGCCAAAAAAAAAAATTCAGCGTGTGAAAGAGCATATAGGAAAAACTGAAATTCCATTTTACTGAGGAAACTGGCGTGAACAGTTTGCATTCCATGTTTCTAGATGTATACACACAAACACATTTTTAAAACATAAAATGGGAATATGAAAATTACTGTTTTTCACTTAATGGATCTTTGATATCTTTCCATATGCGTAACGTTTAGATCCACGACCTGGAGGGCAGTGTTTCACAGAGCTCGTTGTCCTTGGTGTTATTAGTGTTTTCCTCCATCGGTGGTGGTCCTCATCTCCCTGAGTGGCAGGGACTCAGGGTCCTCTGTATCTGGGCACCTGAGCCTTTTCCTGCATGCCAGTCCACCTGTGAAAGTCTTTGCTTTGCAGAAATGCATTCACCCAAGCCTTGCATGGTCATCAGCTTGTTTTTCAGGAACTGGGTGGAGTTGTGACTGAAAGAGCATGTGTTTGTTTCCTGGTATGTGGGGAGTTTCATTAGAGCTTTTCCTCTTCCTAATAAATGTCTGGTAAATCAGGGATATTTCCTCCCAGCTTCTCCCTTCTCCGAGAGCCATGTAACAGCCCAGTCACCTAAACTTAGGTACAAGTTTTGAGAGTTGAATCAGTGCCTGTGGGAGCCAACTGTGAGGGACTCAAGTGGAAGCATTTTCTGGAAGCAAATGCAGCCCCTCATAGCCCATCGCTTCCCAAGTATGTGCAGAAGGGTGGGAAGCAATGGCTGTTTTGTTTCCTTACTTAAAAAAAAAGCTAACATTGTAAACAGAAAAACAGTACAAAAGGGTATGAAGGAAAAATTGGAAGTCATCTTGTTCTCTAGCACCCCTGCCCTACCCTGATGTCCCCTCCTTAGAGGTCATTACTACTAATAATTTGTCATGTATCCTTCTAGACTTTCCTTTGCTTTTATAAATTTTGAATGAGTGGGAACCATAAAGTATTTATTATTCTGCCACAAATGAGTGATTTTAAAATGCAAATTATAGTTTTGTATGTCAAAAATATTTTGCGAGTGCGTGGAAGAAATTTATGCAAAGGGTTTAAAAACTGTGGGAGAGCAGAGTTGCTGTTACGGATTTCAGGCTCCTGTACTGGGATGCCCGTGGTATCAGGCCCAGGGAAAATTGGGCAGAGGCCGGTTTGTCTATGAAGTCTCAGTCCCTGGTCTGAATTTTTTTCTTGCCCCTTCCCTTCTGTGTTGTGGAGGCCCCTACTCTGTCCCCCTCCATCTCACAAAGCCGGCAGAGTGGGAAGATGTACTTAGCGTCAGACGGAATTGGGCTTGGATCTACATGTGTGACTATAAGCAAGTTACTTACCCTCTCTGAGCTTCAGTTTCCTCAGCTTTAAAGTAGAGAGGGCATCGCTAGGTCGCAGAGTGGTTGTGAAGATTAAAAGTGCTAAGGAACATTTCCAGCTTATAGTAGGTGCTAACCAAGTGGTAATTTCCTTCTGCTTCTTGAGCCTTTGTTCTATAAAGGCGTGTTCAGATTTGGACATGGTCCCCCTTCCCAAGGGTATTTGCATTTCAGTACTGATCACAACTTTAACTGAAGGAATTTAGGAGCAGGAAGATTCTTTTGGAGACATGTCACACTGCCTCTACCTGGCTTTTCAGAAATATTTTACGAATGGTCACAACAGGTCGTGTACTCACCCCACTTCCTTTCCTCAGAGCTGGCTCCAGGCTCAGTCCGAAACATAGAGGACAATTTGGCTGCCAGGTGGCTGCCCACATTCTTCTGAGTATCTCAACCTCATGCATTTCAGGCCACATCTTTAGTGATGAGGTCGAAGGCATACAGAGACAGATCTAAGGGAAAAACAGCCGTACCAAGAATGTGAGAGTTCAGACACTTGCTCTTGTTATCAGGGACAACACAAGTCCATCTGGCACCTTTGTGAGAACTGGAAAAAGGCAGCCCCTCTGGGAAGATGGGGCTCTGCAGGTGCACTCCTAGGTGGGTCATGGGGCTTTGGTAGACATTACAGAAAGATGCTCTTCCTCCACTGTAAGTAGGCTCTGCCTATGCCAGGTGCAACTGGGTGAGCAGAGACCAGGCTGGGTTTCTGCCGGCCTCTCTTCCTGCTGCCAGGCACCTCAGTGCTGGGTACCACCTGCCTAGCCATATACAGGGGGCCCATTATTACAGCTGTTTCCACAAGGCCTAAAGAGCCATTATTCTTTTCTCTTTTCCTACCTTCTTTTAGTATCCTGACCTAAGCAATGGAGAACCGGCCAGGAAACTTCCTCAGGGCGTTGTCTATGGAGTGGTGCGAAGGTCAGATCAAAATCAGCAGAAGGAAATGGTGGTGTATGGGTGGTCCACCAATCAGCTGAAAGAAGAGATGAACTACATCAAAGATGTGAGTCATTTAAAGATTTCTTTTTCTGGTTTATACGCTTTTTGTAGCATGTAAGAGGGTGGAGTTGGAAGCATTGATGTGAATGTCATAAGGTATTTTTGGAGAATTCTTAGCATTATCATTTTGGATAGAAATGTTTCTACATATCTTCATCATAATGTTAAGAACACAGATGTAATTCTGCAATGAGAGATAGACTGAACTTCTGCATGTTACTAAGTAAGGAGATTCAGGAGACCAAATGACTTCCTTCTTCCGTTTATGATACACGGTTTTGCTTAAGTGGTTTTACTTATTACACTGGACACTCCTAATGCATGAATTTGGACAGCTGTAGAAATCTGGATGCATTTGACTGCAAGTAATAGAAAAGCCAACTCAAAAAGGAAATTTGTCTCGTATGGGGATAAGTCTAGGGGTAGGTGGGCTCCAGGCAGAGCACATCCAGGCTCCAGTTCCACTTCTCTGAATTTCTCTTGGTTCTGACCTCCTTCAGCTTCAGGCTCATGGCATCATCTGAAAATACGATGGTGTCTGGAGGAAGAAGAGAGGCCGCTCCTCTCTGGTTACTTTTTAGAGACCCTCCATTAGTCTTCTCCCTCTGTCTCATTGGCCGGGACTGAGTCACGTGCTCAAATCTGTCACTGGCAAGGGGAATGGGGTGACTATGACTGGTTCACTTGGGTTGAAATGGATGCTGGGAAGTCAGCCACAATAGATTTTGTCCAACCCAGGCCAATTAATGCCATTTCTTTGTATTTAATATTAACGTTTCTTGTCTTTTTAACTACATGCTCTTTTGAGAAAATTTGGAAAATACAAAAATGTATGAAGAAGAAAACAAAATCACCCATGATTCTACCATGCAACCAGAGCAGTTAACATTTTGCAGCATTTCCTTCTAAATTTTTCATTTCTTTTTATCTATCTACCTACCTGCCTGCCATCTATGTATCTATCTAGCTACATTTTTTTTTTTGGTTCTTTTGGTCTCCCTAGATTGACCAGTGACCCTGTTGACCAAACTAGAGTGATTATTAGATAGGAAATGAGCTTCTCTGACACTGAGGGCCCCCAAACACTGACCTGTGGACTAGGAAGTGCTGGTGAGAAGCAGGGGCAGAGTGGGGCAGTGAAGTACCCCAAGGACCTTGGCTCAAGGTCAAGCTCTGTGTTTGCCCAGCCAAACATTTGCTCTTTCTGGGCTTGTTTTCTTATGTATAGAGTGTGTAGATTGTGACTCTGAGGTCAAAACCTCCAGCTCTGTGACTCCATTTTATTCGGTGGGTTTGTAGATAGGACAGAAAGTCATATTGTCAGCTTTTGCATGGGTCAAAAATAATAAATGCATTGACTAACTTCTTCAATGTGTCTTGAAAGATTTGGATACTTGTATAATTATAAGAAGTAAAAAATAATCGTGTTTTGATTAAAAAAATAATAATTGCTTAACAGAGAAAATGAAGAAAAGCCAAAAAAGCTACACACATACACAAATGCTCAGGATATGTGTCAAATCCCCAGTCATCCTACCCTCCAAATATAATTTTTTAGCCATTCAGTGTATCTCATTCCTAATTTTCTTGTATAGGAGCAGCTTGAATATTCCTAGTTTCCTGTGTTTTTCTCATGAAAATACTTAGTCCTTCCTCATTTATATGCCCCAGGTAACATGGCACTGCTGCAGACGTAAACCTTCTAAGCAGAGTGGAGAGTTGCAAATTGCCCAAGACAAAGAAAGCAGGTTCTGGCTCGTCAGGAATCAGGAATGACATGTGCCCAGGTCATAGGAGTGGTTCTGACCTGAATTACCAACCTCCACTGGGATCTGCAACTTAAAATTAATTTCCAGGTCCCACGTCTTCTAGCTGGCTTCAAATCCATCCCTGGCCTGCTCATTCCTAAGCGTGTTTATGGCATTGTTTGTCCTCTCTCGCTGTTGGTGACTCTGGCCCAGTTGGTGTCCTGCAGTGTTTGCCACCCAGCTCGAGATTCCGCTCACTCCCCACTGGTGAGCAGCACGGGAGTCAACTCAGGGCTGTGGACGAAAGCCATTCTGCCTGCCCAGAATGACAAGTTGTGCTTTTGGCCTCATTTTCCAGAAGTGTTTGTAGTTAATGGCAGGAAAGCAGACTCTGCTATTAGAATTCATCTGGGGAAGGCTTAGCATGTTGACTCACCCTGCCCACCCCGGAAATCTCCACCAATATCCAGTCACCCCTAATAAACATGCTCCCTAATTTAAACCAATGTGCTAGCTCTACAAATACAGCTTCAAAATTAACTCCTTCCCTGCTGTCCCCAACATGCCTCCTGTCGTTCTATCCAGCTGCTGCCTTTGAGCCCTTCCTGTAGCAGAAGTTCCGGAGCTCCCTGGAGAGGGCGCCCTTGAGACTTCCTGTTCTGTTTGAGGATCCCTGAGCTCTTTGTCCATCCTAAGGGCACAGAAGAAGGGAGGAGGCAGGGACTGCTTGGGAGATTTTTTGTTTTTATTTAAAACAATTTTAAGGCCCTGTTACTCCTCTGGAAGTGCTAATATAGAGGGAGTAACTTAAACAGTGTTTGTGTAAACAGGTGTTCGGGGATCACCTTGACTGTGGTTATATTTCGTGTCTTGTGTATTCTTGGTGAGTACTGAGGACCTGACTTCCAAAGTTATGGGCTCTCTGGGCCCGGAGTTCCCTGCCTTACATTCCAGACTTTGGATTGCTCTTTGGCAGTCAGAGCAGGTAGGAAAAATTAGAAGTTGCTTTTGCTTTTTGGTTTTTTGGTCCTCTTAGGCACATGTTTACAGTCAACTTGTTAAATGTTTTCTACTTACAAAAATGTGTGATAAGGGGGCCGGCCCAGTGACATAGCGGTTAGTTTGTGCACTCCACTTTAGCGGCCTGGGGTTTGCTGGTTCAGATCCCGGGCACGGACCTATGTACCACTCATCAAGCCATGCTGTGGCAGGCGTCTCACATATGAAATAGAGGAAGATGGGCACAGATGTTAGCCCAGGGCCAATCTTCCTTAGCTAAAAGAGGAAGATGGGCACAGATGTTAGCTCAGGGCCAATCTTCCTTAGGTAAAAGAGGAAGATGGGCACAGATGTTAGCCCAGGGCCAATCTTCCTCAAAAAAAAAGAAAAAAGTGTGATAGGAAAAGGGGCAACTCTTGCCTGAATGTGATTTGAGCATGATAGGTGAATTTCAACAAACTAGTTTTTCTTCAAAGCTTATTATTTGGATAATTAATATTTATTAATAATTACACTTATATATAATAATATGTATTTATTGTTAGCATTATTATTTGGATAATTCCCTTGGCTTCTAATTACAAATCAGGACTGATCTTCTCTCTTAAGTTCTCAAATTGTGCTGTTGTTAAGTTGTTTTTTGTGGGACCCTTCTCTTATTAGGTTTCTTGGAGGTTTTGGAAATCTCACATGAAAACGTTATAGCTTGATCTCTAACTAGCATCTTTGTGGGCCGCAGGTGAGAGCCACTTTGGAAAAAGTAAGGAAGCGAATGTACGGAGACTATGATGAAATGAGACGGAAGATTCGACAGCTCACCCAGGAACTGTCTGTAAGTCAATAGCTCAGTGACTTGGAAATATGGAGCGATGGTAGGGCTTAGAACTCCCTCTCAGTGGCTAGTGCCTAAAGATATTTGAATTTATGATATTCTTTACGAATGGAATTGTATTTTAAATGCACTAAGGGAATTTTATCACAGAATGAAGTTTATCATTTTGTGGCAAGAGTAATCTTTACATTGAAAGCATCCCTCCAAAGTCAGGAACAAGACCAGGAAGCCAGCTGTCACCGTGATTATTTAACACTGTGCCTAAGATCCTAGCCATTGGAATTAAACAAGAGATAAATTTATGGTTATAAAAACTGTACAGGTGGATGTACAACTATCACTGTTTACAAACTATATGATTGTATACCGAGGGACCCAAGCGAATCAATGACAAGTACTGTTACAAACAGAAGAATTCTGTAAGGTGGCAGGGTGAAAAACTAATAGATGTAAAGAGATTTCAGTATCAAAAAACAATCGTTACAGCAACAAAAAACTACCAGATATCTAGGAGTAAACTTTAACAAGTGGAAAGATGTACCATGTGCTTAAAGAAATCATAAGGTGTCAGCACTATCCAAGTTAATCTACAAGTTTAATATAATCCAATAGAATACCAACAGATTTTTATTTTATGTTGTTTTTGTACAACTAGACGATTCAAAGTATACAGAAAATAAATAGGACAAGTTGGGGGCAGTTCTGGAGGAAAAAGCAATGTGGGAGATTAGCCTTATTGCTATTACTACAAACTGAAAAAGCCTTAGAGATTAAAACAGCATAGTATTGGCACATAAATAAACAGATATCAATGAAAAAAAAGCCCAGAAATGTACCGCAATATATGACAAATATAGCATCTCAAATAAAGGGAGAATATGGGCTAGTCAGTATGTGCTGTTGGTACAATTTATATGCTGTTGAGATAGACTTATACCTGGATAAATTCCAAATAGATCAAAGACTTAAGTGCTAAAAATGAGACTTAAAAGGGCCAGAAAAAAAATGTGTGAATTCTTTTATACTTTTGAGGTAGGGAAGGCCTTTTCTTACTATGACACGCAATCTTAAAACCACAAAAGAAAGGGTTGATAACCTTGACTACATTAAGTGAAAAACTAGTGCTGGCAAAAACACCAAAGTCAAAGTTATATGACAAACTGGGAGAAATTATTTGCATTCATACCATAGATAATAGGCTAATTTTCTGAGTAGTTAAAGAGCTCCCACAAATCAAGAAGAAAAAGGCCACAACTCATAAAAATAGGCAAAATATTTGTAACAGGTAATTTATAGTAAAGGAAAGAAGAAGAGCTCTTCAATGTATGACGAGATGCTCTGCCTCACTCTCAGTAAGAGAAATTCATATTAAAATCATCCTGAGATGTCATTTGTGTCCAGTAGACAAGCAAAACTGCAAGAATGGGGCAAGACACTGGACTGGCAGTGCTGTGGAAAAACAGGCAGATTGCTTTTAGAGTATAATTTTTTATACTGTTAGGGAGAGCAATTTGGCGCTACCTACCAAAATTACAAATGCCTCTATCCTTTGACTCAGCACTTCTATTCCTAAGAATTTATTCTATAAACTCTCATGTATGTGAAATGACATATGTATGAACTTAGTGATTGTGGCCCAATATTACTATTGTTTGTAATAGTAAAAGATTGGAAACCCAAATGTCCATTAAGAAGGGGAAAGTAAAATAAATTATATCTCTACAATAGAATATACAGAATTATCTTTTAAAAAAGAAAGAATAAGAAGAGTGAATAACCCCTTCACAAATATATGGAAGGATTTCAAAGAGACAGAGTAGATGGTGAAAAAAGCAAGATGCATAATGTGCTATCATTTATGTAAAACAGGAGCAGAAATAAATATATCTAGATTGCTTTGTGTGTGCGCAGAAGTCCCCAGAAGGATCATCATGACAGTAGTTAACAGTGGTTCCTAACTGAGGGGAAAGGTGGGCAGCTGTGATAACTGAGCAGATGGACAGGATTGAAGGGGAGATTTATTTTAGTCTGTACCTTTTATACTTTTTCAGTGTTTGAACTATGCAAATGTATTACCTACTCAAAAATCTAAGAAAAAATAGCCTTCCTCTGCTTTAGTCAAGCTAATACTGGTGGGTAAAATGTTTTAAAAAAATATTTGTGATTAATAATTTGGAAGAAAAAGTCCATGCATGTATGACCTACCTGCCATGAAGAGCTACCATCTGCAGGAGAGAAGCGCAGTTACAGGAGTCGTGCTGTGTTAGAGTTTGGTTTACGGCTGGGCTGTGAGATAATCTGCTAAAGTAAGACCTCCTGCCTTGATTATGAGGGTGGGGGCATCTAAACACATCCACCTGGCTCATTCTCACTGGCACGTAGGAAGAGGTTTGTGAAATTCTCACCTACCTGTGGGAATTCTCTCTGCCATAATTCTCTCTGCCTCACGCTGACAGACACTAACGACTGTAATTAAAGCCAAAGGATTAGATTTGCAGTGGATGCTTAACATGTCTCTGCCCTTTGCTTTCCATTGTCATCTCGGGCACACCCTCATTTTTGCAGGCTCGAACTGTCACCAGGAGCTCAGGCTCTCTGCCTTCAGTCTCCTCCTCCAGGCCACACCACACACTGCAGCCAGATTGCTTGCTAAATTGCTGCTGTATGAACACGCCCCCGAACAAGAACATTCCACATGCTCCTGGTCCTGGCCTCCTGTTCCAGCTCTCTCCCCTGCGCAGAGTGCACCCCTGCACTGTCATGCCTTCTGCTTTCTGTGACTCCCACAGGCCACACAGAGGTCCACCCTGGAGCCTTCCCAGGACTCTTAACCTGAGTTCTGCTGCCTCCCTGGCTCTCTGTATCCAGCCTTTCTTTAAAGTCTAGCTTAAGACTGGCCTCTGATGGAACTCAAACATGTCCATCACACACATCCAACAAAGACAACCCAACAGCAGCAGCAGCCACAAAACAACTCTTGAGAATTGGGCGAGCCCAAAGTATATTCTTTCTCTAGTGAGTAGAAAGAGCAAGATAGCACAAGAAGCTATTCTGGCTGGGTTCTGGTTCTAGCTGTGCCACTTCTTAGCTGTTTGTGTGCAAATCTGTTTAACTTCTCTGATTCCGTTTCCTCCCCACAAAGACAAATGTTCTGGCTGCCGCACAGTGTTGTTGAGAGGAGTGAGTGAGGCCCAGTGAGTGAATGTGTGAATACTATCCAAAGGAGAAGTATTCTTGTCTTTGTACTCTCTGGTGACGTGGATCAAGGCTGCCCCAGGGAGAGAAGCCCAAGGTGTCCTGGCCTACATGCTGATCTATATGACCCGATTCATATCTAAAGTTATACGACCACACAGTAACCAGACCCCACCTGCACTGATACTATTTTAATGACTTTTTACATCATCTTTCCTTTGTCTAGTAAAAATAAGTCATGTACCCATGCCATATAAATTTAGCCCTTCACTGCTCATGGGTCCTGTCCCCATGCCTGCAGCCCGTCACTGCCCATGGGTCCTGTCCCCATGCCTGCAGCCCTTCACTGCCCATGGGTCCTGTCCCCATGCTATTCTCTGAATAAAGGAGCACTACTACCAGACCTTGAGAGTCCAAGAAATCTTTCTTTCAACTCTGGTTGGCCGAGCCCACATCATCTGGGTCATGCAGATGTCAAGTTTTTAATGTAAAGCTTTACTTGAAATATCGTTGAAGTCGATGTGTATCAGGAGAAAGTTCCAAGTTCCAGCATAATTAAAGATGTTTTGGGTGTGTATGGATTGGTTTTGTGTAACTGTCTCCTCAACCTATCCAGGTTTCACAGGCTCAGCAGGACTATCTAGAGAATCACATCCAAACACAGTCGTCAGCCCTGGATAGTTTTAATGCCATGAACTCAGCTTTGGCGTCGGATTCCATTGACCTGCAGGTATTCATCTGCTCGCTGTTAGACTGGGTGACCCCATCGCAGTACACGCAAGCTTAACCAAGAGTGGGCCCCGCACCTGTGTGGAAAAGTCAGTCACAGAATGGCCTCAGCCCATTATTCAGAATCCTTTCAGCATAGCCACAGTAAAAGCCATGCCAGGAAGATGGGGACAGAAGTTGAAGGAAGTGCTTTCAAGCTGAGACTCTAAACCTCTGAGGTGCAGCTGTTTTTGCCCTCATTAAAATGAGAGTTTAGATCCTGAGTTCAGTGCTGGAGATGTCTCTTGCTGCACTAGATACCCAAGTGATCTTAAGTGTCAGTGCCTAAAACAGCAGATCAGTCCCTGCTCCCTGTAGCCCGTGTTACGGGAAGTTCCACCCAATCACAGAAAAGACATACTTAACCAAAGTCCGTCTGTATTCCTTCATGCCAATAACTCCCAAGGGCTGTTAAACACTTTTTCCTAATTTAGAAATTATTTTGCATTAAAAGAAATTGTGTGCATTCTAAAGAGTATCTTGTAGTACCAGACAGGGAAGCCGAAAGACTCAGGATCCTACATGTGTGCACATGTGTGTTGTCTACCCACTTCAGGGGGATCGCTCTCTTGATTAATTTGATTTTCTGGGAGCTAACCATGAAAATGCTGCCCACTGTTACTCTTCCAACTGCGGCCCCATCTAAGATGCAAATTAACTTGAAAATGTTCAAAACAATTGTCATGTTCATTAGAAACAGCTTCCCTTGGCTTTAGTTTCCAAATATGCAAACAATAGTTTCTGCCCCTCCTCCAACTTTATTTGGCTCTTATCTTTTTACCCTCCTCTTAAAAGTTCCACAAGCTATTTTGAATCCTTTCTGGTTCTATATAAATAATTTATTAGATAAGCAAACAAATTTTCATGTTGCGATTATCTTCTTCCCCTGGAACCTAATATTCTCTAATAACAGCTGTTATGGCAGGAGAGCCAACTGCAAAGCGAGGCCACTGTCCCACAGTGGGCCTTGGTGGGTGTATGTTTAGATTTGTCTGGGAGGCCCATTTCTGGTGGGCCTCTGGGTCCCACCCTTTCCTGGCTCTACTCAGTGCATGCCAGTTTTCCCCTGGCCTCAGGCCAAGGCCTACTTTGGGTCTGGTTTAGTCAGCTGCCTTTGTTTTCCCTTCCTCCTGCCTTCAAGGGGGCTCGCCAAGGCTCCCTTCCACTCGCTCTTGGACACATTCTCATTCCTGGCCAGCAGGAAGTGCTGTACCCCACCTGAATTCAGACCTGGTTGGTATCTGGATTTTCCTTCCTATCATACTTCTGATTTGTCACCCTGTTGATGCTCCAGGCATTCACTTCTGAGGTCAGCTGTTAGAACAAGTTCAGCCCTAACCCAGGTACCCTGACTGATTCCTAGGTATGGTCTAGTCTCTTAGACCAGGGCACACAGAGTAGCCTCATAGTAAAAGATTAAAAATCATTGTTAAAAAACAAAAATAGGAAGAAAAGAAAGGCGCCGTCTCATGGGCAGGAAGCTCAGCTGAGTGTGAGGATAGTTGGTTTCTTGTTTCTGTATGGCCCCAGCCTCTTCCGTTGTCCAGTCTACCCCATTTTCATTATTACCGACAGGGAGAACAGGCCTTTGGTTAGATTTCATAGAATGTCAGAGCTGGAAAGAACTGCTGAGACGATCTCTAATCCCCTTGTTTTATGGGTAAAGAAACTGAGGCCAATAGAGAGAAATGACTTGAACAAAGTGCCTACCTAGTAGCAGAGCCAGGACTAGAACCCTGGTCTCTTGGTCCAGATGCAGGTTCATGAGCACAAGAGCAGCATCTGTAAAGCCAGCGGCGCTTGCACAGGGCGTGGTTGGGCCGGGTGGTTTCTAAAGCCCCTTGCAGCTCCAGTGTTCTGTGACTCCGTGCTTCCAAATGGCTTCTGCATTTTCTTTAATATCTATTTACCACCATCGAAAATCCTTTCTCCAATTCAAGTAGGTTTAGGAAAGAGGCTTATTATCCAAAGTGGAGGCTGTGGAATTGAGGAATCTTCAGAAACTGATCATCTACAAAGAGGACAAAGGTGTTAGAAGGTGTATCCAACACCAGAGTTTCCACATCTCCTGATTTAAAGTTGTAAATGGTTTAGGGAGGTGGTGGAAGGTGCCTATAACCCAGTGTCCAGTGGTAGGAATTCTGGGGTTTTGGAAGCTATTTCTCTGTAAGGAGAGCCAACCAAGTAGAACTCGAAGCATTAAATAGCAACAGTATTAATTTAAACATTCTTGTTCTAGTGGGTGGCCTGGAGCAATAATCAACAGGCTTTCAACACTTGTCAGGCACTTGTCTGAGTCAACTAACCCTGTTCCCTGGTGTTCCTTCATCAAGGCCCTTCTCTGCCTAAGGGAGGACGGTGAAGCGTTTACAGGCATTATAGTAACCTCAGCCATGTTAACGCTGTCCTGGCAGGCAGTCTAGAAGTACGGAAGTGACAGCCCCTTTAAGAAAAAAGAGGAATATCTCCATTATAAAAAACACGTATTTTATTTTCTGATCTCATTGTGGAAATTTGGAAAATATGCAAAACACAAAGAAGAAAATAACTATCGTCTATAAACCTATCATGTAGTGAAAACCATTATTTGGATTTTGGTGAATTTCCTCCTAGTCTTTTTCCTGTGAGTAGACACATTTGAACAAATGCCTATACTTTTTTTTTTTCCCAATGGGATTCTTCTCTATGTACTGTTTTCAAACCCATTTTTTCCATATGAAATGATGTTTTATGAACATTTTTCCTTGGAAAGACTACATTTGAAACCATTTCCATCCATCCTAAGCAGGAGCAAGTGGTGTTGGCAGCAGCTGTAGGGTATGAAGGGGGGGCTCCCTGGCCCACCCAACCACAGGGCAGCAGGCCGTTTGACCACTGTGGGGGACCCTCAGTTGCTCAAACACTAGGATCCCAGGCTTGCAGCTCCTGTGGGCTGACATCTGCCTTAGTGGGTAATGACAAAGGGATGTCCCAGTGCATGACTCTGACCGTGTTTCCTCACACCACCAGATCTGATTTCATTTTATTTTCACCCCAACAGAAAACCCTTGTGGATGTTACTTTGGAAAATAGCGACATCAAGGATCAAATCAGAAATTTGCAGCAGACGTATGAAGCATCCATGGACAAGCTTCGGGAAAAGCAGAGGCAGTTAGAGGTGGCGCAAGTGGAGAACAAGCTGCTGAGGATGAAGGTAAAGTAGAGGAGCCGAGCTGTCCTGCTGACTTTTCTGTTCTTTCATTTTCCTCTCTCCCCTCCCATCTTCACCTCTTCCATTTCCTTTTCTCTGTTCTTGGTTGGATTCTCTCACCCTTTGGTGGCCAATTCCATAGGGCTTTACCTGAAGGCACTGAGGAGGTTCCTCTGTTCACGACTGTTGGTCCAGATTGGGGGTGCCCCATGAATACCCCCACTGGGGACTCCTGCCTTGGGCCCCAGTGGCTGAGACAATCATCATGGCCCTGCCCTTATGATCTATGAGAGTACTGGGGATGCCCACAGGTCTGGGCCTTCAGAAGCTTCACTGTTCAGATTTTCTCTGAGGCCCAAGCTCTTTCTATCTGGTTTGATAATAAAGAGCTGAGGGGCATGCAGGAAGAAAATGATGGGTGACCAAGGGCTCTGGGCAACGTCCCTCTTGCCCACCAGGCTGTGTTTATCCTTCAGCTGGGCTTCTAATGCCCTAGAGGTGTTAGTGCCCCTCCCAAATTTGAAATATGAATAGATTTCCTATGCAGTGGCAGGAGCAGACCCACACATGGCTCATAGAAGTCACTCAACAAATTATTTCCTGAATGAATTTGTTTTTATTTGTCTGTCATTTTCAAATTCGTTCAATACAGCCTTAGGCTATCCTAGAGGGGAGCGCCTTGTGGGTAGTGTATCTGTATAATTTATTGCTCCAACCAGAATTTATTTGGGAGTGAAAGGTGGTGCTATTAAGAATTTAGTTAGGGAAACAAATTGGGATATGTGGTCCCCTCCCTACGAGCTGCCTCAGATGGGGAGGCGGGGCTGCTACACTGCACTGGGCCATCTCTGTGATTGTCATCCCACAGGGTTGTGCCATCGCTTTCCGAGTGGCCAAACACAACCACCCTGGAGAGGGGAGAGGAAGGGACCAGAGAACTATAGAGTAGACCAGCTCCTCTTTGCTTTCACTTTGAACTCTTCTCTTTACTACTTCATATATTGTATTTCTGAGCTAGAGTTACTTTGAAAAAAAGGAGTTGCTGAAAAAGTCTGAAATTAATGTTTTGAGTCTTTTCCTCGGTGTAGGAGATTTATCCAGTCACTCATCCACAAACATGTATTGAGTGTCTACTATACGTGCCTTTCTGTGCATTCCTGTTTGTCCTGGGGTGGTATGGCATCAGGGCTCTGGGGACGTCATTGGGCAGTTTGGCATCTGGCTGCTTCCATGGAGACCAGGCCTCTAAATCCAACCTACAATTGCCTGTTTTAGAGATGAATTGCTTTGCTTAACTCCTTCCATCCCCCCCCCAAAAGGTACAGGACTCAAGAGTATTTCACATGACCTGGATGCAGAGTAAACAGATCTCAAAGGACGGAGCTCTTTCTAGAAGTCTGTGTTTGCAGTGGAAATGGAGTGCAAGATGCATTGGGTCTCTCTCAGCTGATGATAATCTCCATTCAGGATTTTCCTTTTTGTGGCTTCTTGGTACCAAAACCTGCCCAGTGATGAGAGGGGAGAGTTAGAGGGCATCAAGAGAGACTTCTGTCAAATCTTTGGAGTAAACATCATGTAACCTATTGAGGTTGAGGTACACTTCACTTATCTAGAGGTTCCATATCCGGCAAACTCTGCTCTCTGGAACAAGCAACAAGCTACAAGGAAGGGACACAAACAAAACTTTAGCAGCATACAATCAATGGTGTGAAGTTCACAGGCAAAGGCAGGACCTGGGGCAGAAAGGAGACACCAGCCACCTGCAGCCTAAGCCCTGCCCGCCCACAGCTCTACTGACTTTTTCTCATCCCCTAAGCTGGGCCTGCACAAGCCACTAGGAGTCCCCCGCTAATGTTCCCCAAACCAGGTAGGAATGTTTCCAGATGCAACGTTTGGGAAAGCACAAAGGTTTGGGAAGGATGGGCCCAGATTTCTTCTATGAGCTTAACTTAAGTCTTTCCTAGAGACTGGCCAGTGCAACTAATGGGACACCCTCACCTCCATGTGGGCAACTTCTCCTCAAAGACCTCCCTGCTTTTCTGACATAAAATTTTCTTAAAGTAATGTAGGCACATAGGGGAGGGGGATACCAAACAACGTGAAGGGTAAACTAGAAAATATGCTTGCACCATTTTACCTTCCCGCCAGCCATGCAAGAAGATTCTGACTTCTCCAGCTCCTCTCCAACACTGTTACCATCTGTCTCAGTGATTATAGCCGGCCTCATGAGTGTGAAGTGCTGTCTCATTGTGGTTTTGCATTTCCCTGATAACTAATGATGTTTAGCATCATTTCTTTTGCTTATAGGTCATTTGCATGTCTTCTTTGGAGTATCTGTCAGATTCTTTGCCCATTTTTAAATTGGGTTATTTATATTTTATTATTGTTTTAAAAATTTTTTATATATTCTGGATACAAGTTATGAGATATATGATTTGCAAACATTTTCTCCCACTCTCTGAGGGTTGTCTTTTCACTTTCTTGATGGTATCCTTTGAAGCACAGAGTTTTTAATATTGAATATTGATGAAGTCTAATTTATCTATTTTTTGTCACCTGTGCTTTTGGTGTCATTTCTAAGAAGCCATTGCCTAATCAAAAGTCACAAAGATTTACTTTAGTTTTTCTTCTAAGACTTTTATAGTTTTAGCTTTTATATTTAGGCCTTTGATCCATTTTGAGTTAATTATTGTACATGATGGATTAGGAGTCCAACTTCATTCTTTTGCATGTGGCCAATCTAACACCATTTGTTGAAAAGACTATTCTTTTCCCATTGAATGGTCTTGGTAGATAATTTTTTGATATTTAGTTTTTTATAGCAGGTACATTATTTACATAGTTTCAAAGTCAACCTACAAAACAAAGTATATTCAGAAATAGAATTGTCTATATCTATAACATCTCCTTTCCTCTCTTACCCCCTCCTTCCTCCTGTAGATAACCTTTTTATTTTTTAATTTTATAGTTTATCTTACTCTGACCCAATTCTAGTAACGTAGTGATCTTATTTTTCAGCCCATAACATAACAAAAACCATAAAGTAGTTCCCTCTTAGCCACAGTTTTGCTTTCTGCAGTTTCAGTTACCTGTGGTCAACTGGTGTCCAAAAGTATTAAATGGAAAATTCCAGAAATAAACAATTCATAAATTTTAAATTGCACGTTGTTCTGGGTAGCATGATGAAATCTCATGCGGTCCCGTTCCATCCCGCCCGAGACTTGAGTCATCCTTTTGTCCAGTGTATCCAGGCTGTGTATGCTACCTGCCCATCTTGTTTATCAGATCGACTGTCACAGTACTGCAGTGCTTGTGTTCAGTAACTCCTATTTTACTTAATAATGACCCCAAAGTGCAAGAGTAGTGATGCTGGCAATTCGGATATGCCAAAGGGAAGCCGTAAAGTGCTTTCTTTAAGTGAAAAGGTGAAAGTTTTCAACTTAATAAGGAAAGAAAAAAAATCATATGCTGAGGTTGCTAAGATCTATGATAACTTTATTACAGTATACTGTTGTAATTATTCTATTTTATGATTAGTTGTTAATCTCTTACTGTACTAATTTATAAGTTAAACTTTGTCATAGGTATGTATGTATAGGAAAAAACATAGCACAGGCAGGGTTTGGTACTCTCTGTGGTTTCAGGCATCCACTGGGGCTTTGAGCATCTCTCCCGAGGATAAGAGGGACTACTGGACTCAGGAATTAAAAAAGCATATCCTTCTGAGGCCAATTAGAGTGTAGATATATTAACCAGAGAAAAATTTTTGGTAAAACTGATAGACTAAAAGACAATAAAATGTCAGGATCTAAAGGACATTAGACAGGAAAAATCAGTGAAGAAAGGGGTTAGTAAGACAGTGGAGCATGATGCATTTTAGAGAGAATTCAATTTAAAAATAGCTAAATTTGAGGGACAGGGTTGATACTTAGAGAGGTATGTTTCCACTTTTTGAAAAATCCACTCCCAGGGAGCACCTTTTCCTGATAATGCCAAATCAATTCACGTGAGGTGTTGCTTTTTATTTCTTTGTGCCTGCTTACTGCTTTCCCGTCTTCCTTCTGTCCCTTTCCCCTTTAGTTCCTGTGCCTCCATCTGCTGTGGAGCTGTGGTCAATGGGTTCACTTCTCTGTGTGTCCACAGGGGACAGATACAGAGTGAAAGGTACTGATTCCCCCGGAACCTGCACAAGCCGTAGCTCTGAAATGAGTCTCTTTGCAGGTGGAATCGTCCCAAGAAGCCAACGCCGAGGTGATGAGAGAGATGACCAAGAAGCTGTACAGCCAGTACGAAGAGAAGCTGCACGAAGAGCAGCAGAAGCACAATGCTGAGAAAGAGGCTCTGCTGGTGTGTATGTCGCAGCTGCCAATAGGATAACGGAGGGTTTTTGGTTCATTATTGTTGGTGAAGATTAGATAGTAGGGTTTCTGCCTGGAGGTGAGTTAGTGGACTCTGACATGGGTGAGGGGTCAAGGAATATATTCCGTTGCTCCCTCAGTCCCCTCCCCCGTCGCTCCTTTCCTTTATTCATCCCCCTCCTTGCTTGGAATGTCCCCAGTCTCCATCTCTCAGTACACCCCTTTCTCTAGCTAATCTGACCATCTGCCAGCATCCAAGCAGATCCTGGGCTTGCCTGCAGCTGTGCCCTTCCTCACTCCATGTGCTCCTCTCGACCTGAAATCTCCTCCTCCCCTGTCCTTGATCTTCCTGGGGCTCCCTAAAAGCCTTGAAAGCGCCCCCCTCTCCGTGACTGAAGCCTTTCCCATTTGCACAGCGAGAAGAGTCCTCTGACCTTGGGAAGCCCACTCTCTCTCTGCTCTTTGCTGTGGCGTTCTCTTGTACCTAATATTAGAGGTGGGCGTATTAGACGTACGTCTCACATCTTGGCTTCTGTAGGACAGCATAAGTTCCTCAAAGGTGGGGACTCCATGTTGCCCCTCTGCTGTGTCCTTACAGGCTTCATAAAGGGGCTGAATTCTTGACTGAGTTGGTGCTTTGCAATATGGGAGAAAGATCTGGACATTCTGCATTCAATTCCAGATCTGGCCCTAATTCCCTTTACATTGTTGGCAAATACAGTGACACTCTGAGCTTCTAGTCGGAGATAAATAACATTTGTGAGCTCTTTTTAGACATAAGGACTCAAAAGAAGAAAGGGAAAAAAAAATAACTAGGCCCATTAAAAAGCCACACAATATGTCTTTATTCACAGGTGAAAACCAGAATCGTGGAAGTTGAGTTTATGACTTGTGAGACACTTCTAGGCCCCAATGTCATGCTTTTAAGGAGACATCATGAATTTAGCAAGGCCAGAGCTGTTTGGACCCTGGTTGGTAGCCTAGGGACTTCATGGCTGTGCTGAGGAGAATATGTTTCCTTTGCAGGAGGAAACCAATAGTTTTCTGAAAGCAATTGAAGAAGCCAATAAGAAGATGCTAGCAGCAGAGATCAGCCTAGAGGAGAAAGACCAGAGGATTGGAGAGCTGGACAGGCTGATTGAGCGCATGGAAAAGGTAACAGACACAGCCTTGGGCCTCTTGCCCCCTGCGCAGACTCCCCTGCGTTTCTGCAGTTCCCCTGCACGCCTATCTGAGGGTATGAGTAGCCCTCAACCCTGAACTCTCTCATCCCTCCAGTGTGTGATGTAAAAAAGAAAGACAAAACCGTAAAATAAAGTAGGAGGAAGTCCAGCAAAGTTCTCATTTTCCCCATGGTAACAAATTTGATGCTTTAAAAACCATTATATATAAAATTATTTACAAAAATTAATATTTTAGCAGCTCTGCTTTGCTGGGGCCCCAAGCATGGACTTCGTATCCTTGCTGAGTAATCAGGCCCTATTTTAGATGTTTCATCGACACCCAAGCCTGTTGTTTCTGGGGCATGTGTCGGAAGGGTTGGTTTTTCTCTGACACGCCACATGTCAGAGTGGGAGACACATGTTTCTCTGTGGGCGGGGCATACAGGCTCAGGGGTGGGGCTGCGTGGAGGCGTGTGGAAGGCAGGAGCTCAGCTGACATAATGAAGGCAGTCTAGAGAAAGGGAAGAGGCCAGAAATTAGGCAGAAATGGAGAAAAGGGAAGCAGGGTGGGAGAGAGGGAGGAGAAAAAGAAGGAAGAGAAAGAAGAAAAAGGAAGGTGACCTTTAGCAGGTGACAGCTGACTTCTGAGGGAAGGGTGGTAGTTGAGGGCCGAAGTGTGGCTGGCTCCTGGAAAATGGCTCTCCAGCAGCATGTGAGTTTGCAGAATAGTGGCGACCCGCTGAGACCATGACATCTTAGCGCCCTGTAACGCCTGCTGCATGGCAAGACTCTCCAGGCTGGTGATGGGGGAGGGGGAGCAACAATGTGAGTGAGTGAGGTCAACATCTGGGCTTCCAAGTAGTTCTGAGAAGAGGTCTCCTTAGGCCTGGCATCCGCAACATGAGCCCCTCTGCTGTCCCTGACAAGGTGAGGTGAGACCAGAGCGGGAACGGCATTACGTTCAGCACTGTGGAGCGCTGGGGTTCGCTGGGGGCTCCCGTTTTAGCTAGTATCTTTATTTGGGAGGGACTTGAGCAAACTAAATAGTGAATTAAAATTTTACCTCTTGCCCTTGGAAACAGCTTGCTATGTTTTGTTGAAGACATGGCAAGTGGCGTGTTTAGGGCTAGCATCAGTACTGGTTAGGGGTGGTGGTAGTGAAGATGGGGCCGCAAGGGTGTTTTCTAGAACTTGAGTGAGCTTTCTCCCACATTCCTGCTCTCCTACCGCAGCAGAAGATGCTGGGTAATGCAGATGCTCCCTCTGGGTGGTGGATTGTCCTGCAGCATAAGGAAGGGGAGCAGGCGGCACGGGGAGGTGGTTTGGTCAGACAAGCTGTCGTACAGAGAGAAGTGGTCCGTGGAGTGGTTAAGAGTATAGGTTGTAGGATCAGATAGACCTAGATTTTGAGTCCTGTCTCTTTCTAGTTGTGGTCAGTTACTTGACTCTTCCAAACTCAGTTTCCTCTTCTGTAAAATGCTGATAATAATTCTTATTCTTAAGGTTTTTGTGAGGAGTAAATGAGAAAAATTCATGCAAAATGCTGGGCACTGTGCCTGGCATTTAGTAGGGGCTCAAAAATTTGTGGCTCTGACTTTTATTTTCTTACAGACTTTCCTAAGTGTCTGCCCCCACAGTCAGCTTTTTTTAGCTGGGTCTGTTTTATAGCTTATCTCTTTCGTGCCCTTGGGATTCTGAAAGTCCCCAGCTTCTTCCCACTGATTTCCATGTGGAGCCTGTGGGAGAGATGTATGGGGTGGGAGGCCCTGGAGGTGGTAGGGCTGGCCCTCACTGTGGGCATTTATGTAACACAAAATGGTCCCCAGCTCCTGTGGCTTTTTCTTTAGTGACTGAAAATTTATTGTCCTTTCTCTAAATCTTCCCTTCCATTTAGGCTAGAGAAGTGCTTGCTTTATTTAGCTAAGATTAGATATACCAATTTACCGCTCTTTCCCCTTCAAGAATAAATCTTGGGGAACAGGAACCTTGCCAGATCTCTGTCACACTATGTGAACAGCGTGTCCACGGGTGTATCCTGCTCTCACCTATTTTTGGATTTGCTCAAGGATGAAGTGTGTGCTTTCGAATGGCTGTTCTACCATATACCTTAGTGTACTGTTTCTCTTTTTGAGCATTGTATTTGAAATACCTTTTTCCTGATCAGTAAAAATCTTTTAAGGAGTGTGTTCCATCAGGGACCCTTCTGTGTCACAGAATATTCTATGCCTTGATCTGGGTAGTGGTTTCCCAGGTGTATACAAATGTAAGAAACTACGGTGCAGTGGACACTTAAGATTTGTTATGCCTCAATTTAGAAAAAATTGAACTTTTAAAGTGAGCTATAAGTTAGGCCTTTCCCTACTTTATGATGACTTTTTTGGGGGGGTCTAGGGGGGTGGGTTACTTGTGAAAGGTCCATCACTGTTATTTCAGGGCTGATGTAAACTTCCAGCCAGTGGCAAACCACATGAGCACAGTGGGAGCGTTCTGCCCAGGCTGGCCAGTGAGAATGTGGGTTTGCCGTGGAGATTTAAAAACGATAACAAAACTCTGCTGAAAGTTGGTCTTTCTTTATTATTCTAAATATGTCAGTGATAACATGCTCTCTATGCCAGGGTGGGCTCCTCCTCCATCTCTTTGGTCCATTGCTTGGTGTTCCACTGCTTACAGCTTCAGAAGTTGTGGGAGTTGAATTTTCAGAGATTCACTTTCAGTGGTTTGTGGGAAAAGAGGTTTGGACTCGATATAACTGTAAGAGTTTGTTGGGGAGAATTTCTGAGAATAAAGATGAGACACGCTAGTATTGAGGACCTAAAATGAAATAATCTCCTCCCGGTTAGGGAGCAGGACTTGGTAAACTTCATTTTAAAGGAGTTTATTAGACTAACATCTGTAACGTATTTCTAGTGCAGTTTTGGTTGTGGTGGGCACTATGCTTTTTATTCACATTTTCCACTTTGTCCAAAGAAGTGATTGTCCAGATTCTTAATATTACTTTTTTGGGTAAACTTTTAAATTTACATATATACAGCCAAGGGTATAAATCTTAAGTGCACAGCTTGATACATGTGTTAGTTTTCTATTGCCTCTGAGACAAATTACCACGATTAGTGGCTTAAAACAACATGAATTTAGTATCTTATAGTTCTAGAGGTCAGAAGTCCTAAAGTCAAGGTGTTGGCAGGGCTGGGTTCCTTTTGGAAGGTTTGTGGGAGAATGCATTTACTAGCCTTCTCTAGTTTGTAGAGATCGCCTATGTTCCTTGACTTGTGGACCCATCTTCCAACTTCAAAGCCAGCAATGTAGCATCTTCCAATGTCGGTCTCTCTCTGACTCTAACCCTACTTCCTCCTTCTTGTAAGGGCCCAACTGGATAATCCAGGATGATTTCTCCATTTTAAGATACTTAATCACATTTGCAAAGTTACTTTTTCAATGGAAGGTAGCATATTCACAGATTTCAGAGGTTAGGATGTGGACATCATTGGGGAGCCGTTATTCTAGCTACCACAGTACATTTTTATAAGTGAACATACCTGTGTAAACACGACCCAGGTTGGTATATAGGTTATTACCCAAATTCCAGAGCCTTTTTTCTTGATGATTCAAAACAATCAAGAATTTTGCAGTATCACAGGCCACTGATTTAGAGTATTGATTATCATTATTTAGGACTATAAATTTTCGCAAGACATCTAAGCCTGGGCTGATAGAGTACTTCTTAAAAAAGAAATCTTGAATGTCTTCATCCAGGATATTTGTCTATAATTTATAAATATGTCTATAAGTACACACCAACAGATGTGGCATTTTTGAGCTTTGTTGGACCCTGATGAGTGGGTGTGTAAAACCTGTGGGTGTTATATAGACCTGAACCCACTAGTGCTGGGATTGCTTCATACACATTCTCTGTCCAGTTTGGGACCCATTGATGAAAACATCAGTGTCTGTTTGTTTTAGGAACGCCACCAACTACAACTACAGCTCCTAGAGCATGAAACGGAAATGTCAGGGGAAATAACTGATTCTGACAAGGAAAGGTAAGATGTAAAGCCCTTGATCTTGCATTGGATTTAGATGGGCACATGCTGTGTTTCTGTGGGCTCACTTAATCCTTGAATGTCTATTCATTTGGTTATCACTTTTTGTGCAGACTTATACATGCAAAACACTGGGCTGAGAGCTTCCAATGTGGAGCCAGTTTCCTCAGGAGCTTAGAGCCCCATCTTACAGCCCATGGCTGGTGGTTAGTGCCGTGGAACACATCAGAGACTGTCACCAGTGCAAAAGTTCAGTCTATAAATGTTCTCCATGACCTTCAACTCCACAGGATGCACCTTGTTGGTGAAAAAAGTCATCAACTGTGACTAATACCGTTGCTGTGGAAACTAATTTTAAAATGCCTTTCTTTGTTTCTAAACATTTGCCCAGTCAAACCTTGCCTTGTCCCCTGGCGGTGGAAAATGCAGGAGTAGTACATGGACTCTTCTAGAAATCAAAAGGCAGAAAGGCCATACACGACCCTCTAGTGAAGGAAAACAAGGTTGGGATGATTTGAGCATTTTGGGCAAGTTACCTAACGTCCCTGAGCTTCTTTGTTTATCCGTAAAATGGGAGTTCTTCTTTAAAGGGGGAGGGGGTCATGATGATCATAACAGTGCCCATCTCATCGGGTTGTTACTGTGAGGGAACTGTTGGGCGTGCTGCCTGCCACATAGGATGCGTTGCAAAAATACCTGTTTTCCTTTTTCTTTTTGCAACTTCAGAGCTTGCAACGAGTCTTCCCTAGTCTTTAACGTAGTGCTTCAGAGGGACCTGGCGGAGAGGGGAAGTGGTAAGCAGACCACCAGACCCTTCGTCCAGTGCTCCATTCCAGCAGCCCCAGCTGAAGAGCCCATCTGCTGGTTCCTTTGGTTTCTTTGAACCAAGCAAAGTCAGAGGATAATTTGTGCTGTTTTAAAACAAAAGTATGAAATGTTTTGCAATGGAGTTCACTCTGTTTATATGCAGAGATGGTCTTTAAACATTTCCCATTTTCCCTAGATAAGTGATTGTAGAACAGGTATAATTCCAAATTTCCCAGGACTCTGCCACTTCATTTCAGATATTTTGTTGTGTTACTAGACTCCTCTCTGTTCTCCTAATCAAGGTAATTTACTGGATGTTCCAATATTGCATTAACTCCCAAACAGAGAGCCTCTGTACCTCTAGCGGTACAGATTCTGTCTCAGTCCTTGGAAAGTGTAGTAACTGTCCTTAAACAGGGTAAAACCTGCAAATGGGAACTTGACAAAGAGTCCTCCATTTCTTCTACAGTGGGGTGGTCGATTGGCAGTTCCTCACCCAGCAAACACACAAAGGAAGAGGAGTCTTGGAATTCCCTTTCTTGTTCTTGGCCATGTTCCTTTCAAGCAGTGACTTTCTGTGCTAGTGGTGCTGCTTTGGTCTAAGACTCAGTTGCTCTTTCTTCTGTTTGCATTAGGTATCAGCAGCTGGAGGAGGCATCTGCCAGCCTCCGCGAACGGATCAGACACCTAGATGACATGGTGCATTGCCAGCAGAAGAAAGTCAAGCAGATGGTTGAGGAGGTAAGTCCTTGTAAGAGGTCATGGGCTGGGAATTGCTTCCTGTAGTGGGGGCCTTTCAACCCTAGAGCCAGATCCTATTCTCAGCCCAGTTTTCTGTGGCTCACTGTGAACTTGTTCAGGTTACTGCCATCTTGGCCAGAGGGGAATTTCCTCAGATCTCCCTGGTGATTATCCCTGTAAATGGGGGCCATCTCCAGATCAAAGAGTTACTCTTAAGAAAGCTAGGGAGTGCAGTTGATAAGCTCACCCACTTTCAGAGGGCTGCGATGCTCTACATGGGTACCTGCAGCGCTGGGACCAAAGGATGTGACAAGAAGAGTTTAAGTCAGCTCAGGTCTCTGCACTGCCCCCTGCTGAACCGCCTGCCTCTCTCCCTGCGGCCACTCTTGTCTTTTTTCCATTTCTGGGTGTGTCTCTTTCATCCTCCTTCCCTGTCTGTTCCTCTCTCTCTTTCCTCCTGCTTTCCTTCATTCTCTTCTCCATTCCTGTTTCTTCTTCATCTATTCTCTTTTCCACCATCCTTTCTCTCCTTAACTGTCTATGTAATGTGAAACCAAGTTATATGTTTACTATATGCTGGACATAGTTGACTATTGTGTTTTTCTAAATGAAAAAACAGGTAAGTTGAACATTTATATTTCTCTAAGAGGAAAACAATTTCTTGTAACTTGTGTTAATATCACCTGTCTTTCTTGGTGATGCTCTATAGAAGAAAGTCCTTGCTGTGGTACAGCTAATCACGTATTATTGTAATTTTTTCTTGCTCAATTGAAAAATCAGATAGAAAAAAGGACAATACTAACAGGGTTATAAGAATTCCCCAGGGTCTAATTCTTTGACTTTCAAAGAAAAGAAGAGATTTCAATTTATTTAAACATTTGGTTGGCAGTAGAAAAACTGGAAAAAAACAACAACCCCAAAACCATTTTCCTTGTATTAAGCACTATGCTGAAAAGTTATTTAGTTTATTAATGAATTATTAAAATGAAAAGTATATCTACTTCTAATAAATGATTCACACACATGAGACAAGTAGAAGATTAAAAGTATAGCCATTTATTAATCTCTACAATATTGGAGATATTACTGGAGTGAGGTTAAGGTGAGGGAATTGTGAGGATGGGAGGGACACTTTTTTTAATTGTGTGTAGGATAAACATTAGATAAAATGTGTTCCCCAAACAAGAAAGCCAATCCTACAGTGTTGAATCCTTTGATTGGCTCGTATGCAAGTCTTGGGGAGCAGTAGAAAAAAAGAACAGAGAGCAGAGGTTCAGATGAGGAAACCAGGCACACACCTTCACAGTCCCTTTGCACACCCAGCAGGAGCGCTGCCAGCAACAGTGATGGGTAGACCCTGCCTAACAGCAACAGTAGGTGGATGTCAGGAGTGTGTTTCCCAAGGAAAAGCATCATTTTGTCACAGCTGGCATCTTGGGGAACCATGGCTGTCAGATCATAGCTTTTCTGCTTCTGAATTTCACATAACGAAGTCTGGGCAAGGCTGTCCCTTATTCCCCGTGTGACTCCTTGACTGTGGAGCACTGCATTTCTCCCACCTTACGTAGGGTGGAGGTCTGGATTGTTTTCATATCCAATGTTAGAGAACCAGGAAACGGAACTCATATGGGTTGGATTTTGGTTCATTTTTATCCGTAAGGGTTTAATATTGGTACCAAAATTGGAGACGCTTTTTAAAAAGACTTTCAAAGAAGTTTAGGGTTCTCTGTTTTTTAACATACTCCTGGAATATAATGGGTATACCACTTTGAAGGGAGTGGGGGAATATCTACATATGAAAATAAGGAAGCATATAAGATCATTGTCCATGCCCTGCTTTTCTGCCTGTGACTTGCTGTCTCCCAAGGAAGCTTCTCTGAGTCCTGATGATGCGGTCTGGAAGACCCAGTCATTGGAACGAGGCGGAGCTTTAGGATGGTACCATCAGAGTGAGCACCACCTAGGGGCCGGCTGGGTTTCAACAGCAGATGGAGATTTAAAAAACAAAAGAGAGAGAGAGAGACTTTTTATTCTAAATTTAAACCACTATCTAGTTCAGGTGGTAGAAATTAGTGTGTTTGTCTAGTACACCATGTTAATTTATACAACAAAAGGATAGGTTAACATCTCAATTGCTGCAGCCATTTATGTGAATACCTTTTTTTTTTTAAGTTAGAAAGATGGAAAAGGGACATCGACCGATGAGCACGTTCAGAAGAGCAGGATCAGGTTGGAAAGGAGTTGAGACTCTGGTCGTTTGGGGAGTAGTTGAAGGACTTGGGGAAGAGACAGCCTAGGAGAGACGTGAGGGCTGAATTCACTTCTGAGAAAACAGTTATCGAGAAGAGAGATATCTTTTTGTGTTGTGCTTCGGTGCAAGGCCAGGCCAGAACCACTGGGTGGCACTTGCAAAGAGGCCAATTTCAGCTCTTCGTTCGACATAAAGAAACTGTTTCTAAAATTGGCTGCTCTGAGAAGCTGTTTAGCTCTTCATCGTGGGTGCCTTCCTTATGAGGTGAGAAGCTGAGATAGGAGCACCTTAAAGAAAGAATTCTCTGTTGTTTACTAGGTTGTGCCTGTTATTATGAGCTCAGCATTTTCGTTCCTTTGCATAACGAGCAAAGTCATAACTAAATCACTTCATATCATTTGGACCAAAGTTTGAAAAATCCAGGCTACTGAATTAGTCACTTGTGGAATCTCTGACTTTGGAAGAGAAGCATATTTTTATCTGTGAGCTCCAGCTACTCAGATACTGAGACAAATTTGACCCAGAAATAGAGGCAAGCTCTATGTGGAGCAGATGTAAGGGACAGTTTTCCTTCCCACCCGTGAAGTCTGGAAGCTCGTCAGTGCCATAGCTCCACTGTCACAGAGGGCGGGGATCCAGGCTCCATCCATTATTGGTGTCATTTTAGTCATAATGGCCATGAGGAAACTTAGATTATTAAAATGATGCGCTTCTTTTTTCAGCTCAAAACATCCAGGTGTTACTTAGAACTAAGATACAGAGCCATGCACTGGGGCTTTGGGGAGGAAAAAAAAAAAATCCAGGTATTATCACTGAGGTTCTTGGAATCCTTAAATGTTATGCAATATATTTCCTTCCACCTCAGTAAAATGTAATTTCTTAGTAATAATAAAGTGAATAAAAACTAACTGGCCTAGATTTTGCAGTCGTTAGCTCATTAATGACTTAACCTTCATCATGTGGGGTAGTACGTTCCAGTAAGGACTTGTGCACATAAGAAGAGGGCAGGATGGGCCCTTTTGAAATGAAAGATTAATATATATCTTATGGGGTCAAATTCATTGAGAAAAGACAACGCAAAGTGTCTTGTGTGAAGTGTGGGACCAAATAGCCCGACTAGGCTGGAGCTTTGACTGAATTAAGTCTGTTTCGTGGTGTGTGTCAGGGATTGGTTATCTCCCTCTCATTGCTAGTTCTTCTGACTGTTCTGGCTCTGACAAAAAATAAAAAACAAAACAAAACAAGCCCCACCTATGCCCCTTTTAGACTTTTAAGGGTTTGCCAGAAAATATAGAGGGACTGAAAAAAATTCCACTTGTGGGGAAATTCATTCATCCATCCATCCATTCACCAGATATCCACCAGCACTTTCTCTGTGCTGGCGGAGGGGGCGTGGGGGTCCACAGTGGGAGGTGGTCAGATAGGGTCTTGCCCTCGTGGACCTTGCCATCTGTTGTATCCTGAGTTCTAGAGTAATCTAGAACTAGTAGAATCTAGAGTAATCCCTCGGGCTTCATTCTTCTCGTGAAAAGTCTTGTTGGGATTAGGTCCTTGTCTCAAATGGGCTGCATTCTTTAGCTTGCTGTTCAAGGAGCCAGGACCTGGGAGGAGCACAAGGCTGGGAGGAACCAGAGCCCGGAGCAGTGAACAGGCTGACACATCTTTAAGTGTTATTTTCTCAGTCAGTAGTCGTCCACACCTCTTTCCCTGCCCTCATGGAGGTGTGGTCCCCTGCCAGCCTAGGCGGCTCTCCTGCCCAGGGGGAAGTTATCTGGAGGAAAAGACCAAATTCTTGTTTGCCCTCAAAAAAGGGTGGATTTACATTTTTGCCAATGAGCAATGATATAATTCAGCTGAATAAATAGTAGTTTAATAAGAATTTCTTTGCCTTTTCCCACGTCAACTGTAGGCATCCTTTCGTTTTCATTTCTTTCTTTGGATTTCCTGATGCTGTTTGTGATGGGTGGAGTGTTTCTTCCAATGGAAGGTGTCTGAAGGGGCTTCCTTTCAGCTGCAGAGGAGGCATTATTTCTGTAGACTTTTGCAGAAAGCAGTTGCACCCCCACCTCCTTCTATAATTTAGGTGTTTAATGAGTGCAAAGGTGCAAGGAATTGATTTTCATATTAGTGCTTATCCATGCAGGCTGTACATTAGAATCACTTGAGAAGCTTTAAAAAATGCCAGAACCTGGCAGATGGGGGTGGGAGGGAGGGACTGGGTATTGGGGTTTTATTTTCTTTTTGCTTGAAGAAGATTGTCCCTCAGCTAACATCTGTGCCAATCCTCCTCTATTTTATATGTGGGACACCACCACAGCATGGCTTGATGAGCTGTGTGTATGTCCGCGCCCGGGATCCAAACCCACAAACCCTGGGCTGCTGAAGCAGAGCACCTGAACTTAACCACTATGCCATGGGGCTGGCCCTTTTGGTTTGTTTTCAACCTCCACAGGATTCCAATATGCAGCCAGGATTGAGAACCAATGCTCTAGATTCTTAGAGCAGTGGCTTGGGTTTCCATGCTGGTTTATGCACCACATAATGATGTGTCCATCAACAATGGACTGCACATATCACGGTGGTCCCATAAGATTAGTACCATATAGCCCAATGTGTAGTAGGTTATACCTTCCAGACTTGTATAAGTGCACTCTGTGATGTTCACTTGAGGACCAAATCACCTAATGATGCATTTCTCACAATGTATCCCTGTCATGAAGCGACGCATAACTATAATGTATTTGGCCAGCCCCCCTCGGAAGCTGCCGTGCCTGAGGTGGAAAGCTAGTAGTAAACACAGGGTAGGAAGGGCTCAAGGGAGGAAAGCCAGGGAGACCAGTCACCAAGGACCAGGAGCACTGGCGTGCGAGGGCTGGTCCAAGAGTGGGACTGTGTGAAGGTCCTGTCGGGGGATCTTGCTAGCCCTGTCCGCACAGAGGATTCTGTGACAGCTCACTCGTAATAGCTCTGCTGGCCTGGTGTTATCCAGATAGTAAAAAACCTTCCAGAGGCTATCCAGATCCATCTGGAGAGAAGTTGTTAATAAGCTAGGTCGATGAGGCACACTGTTAAACAGGTATTAGAGACTTAAAGGGACAGAAGCCAACTCCAGTGGAAGCTGAGAACCTCCCACTAACAAAGAGAGCCAAAGTAGTTCTCAAAAATCCTCTTCCCCCTCGGCTTGTGTGTGCATGTCTGGCCTCATCCTGGTTTAAATTACTCACTTCTGTCTACACAGAGGACCTTACACTTGGCCTCACTGCACCTGTTTAGAAAGAGAAGAATGCAGTCCTTGTTGTAGTATGAACATGACCACTTCTCAAGAGCGAGACAAATTAGAACGTTTTTGCAGTTCCTGAGAAATGATTCTGAAAGTATTCAGTTATCATCCCTTAGATTTTTTGAGAGTGATGTGATTGTTATAAAGCAACAGTGTTTTTGGAGAGATAAAGTGGACCAGGGAGATTGGACGATGAGTAACTCTTCAGAGCGTTGAGGTTTGGGTTTCTGGCTCTCAAGCCAGTCAGCAAAGCAGGGCTTCCTGTCTCTTTTCTCAGGTCCCTGTAACTCACCTCCCTGGTTCCAAGATCTTGGAAAATGAAGGCTGAATCTGCATGCACCCCCTGCAGTTAGAGACCTAGGAGAATTGTGGTTGGAGACCTTTATGGGTATACAGTGAAAGGTGGCCTAGAAGATGGGGACAAGCATGGACTTTAGAAGCAGACAGACCTGCATTTACTAGATGTGGGACCTTCAAAAAGTTATTAGTTTTCTTATCTGTAAAGTGAGGTTAATAACAGTATCCACCAGAGAGGATTTTTTTAAGAGTTCAATGAGATGATGTATATAAAATACTTATAGCATATTAATTGGAACATAGGAACTACCCAATGAATACTAACTGCTATTATTATTACTGATGGATGGGTTCCTGCTGTGTATACCCAAAGTGAAGTTAGATAAATTAAAAGCAAAAGTAGCTGGGTTGATTTCTTGACCAGTACACAGGGCTGCCCTTCTCTCCTCTGGGATTCTTCAGGGCCAAATGGGATCTCCGAGTAAGCTTCTCTCTTCTCTTCTGTGCTCTGTGCTGTGTTCTAGCTTAGCCATCAGTCTAAGTATTTGAGTAGAATATTTATACACAAAGCAATTAAAAAAATTTAAATTCCCACCATCCCAAGAATCTTTTATTTTAAATGGACCAGCCATTTGTTAGCACACAATTTATTTTAAAACTATTGTATGATGTGCTGAAATGTACTAGACAAAAGTACATTTTTGCCAATGCCTTCTGTTTAGAGGATTCAGAGTAATCTCCATCACTGGTAATTAGCCAAGTGGGGGTAGGGGAAGTACTGAGCCCACAAGCCTAATCCACTCAATTGAACTGTTTCCAGATCATGTCACACGAACTCTTCTCCAGATTTAGTCTCCGGCTCGTTGGAAGATGATAAATGGTAGCCTGCTCTGGGTTGGAAGCGATCCCTTTTATTGTTCGCGATTAGAAGAACGCTTGTACTCTCTCTGCTGGGAAGAGGTGGCATGTATCTGTGATGAGCGGATGAACAAACAGGAGGGGCATGCTATTGAAAATAGGACCATGTAGGGCTCTCATTTGTGAAAACCCCCACATACCGTAACCTCAACCTGTCCAGACTCACATTGCGGAGTCACGAGAACTCAAAGCTCCAGAGAGTATTTTTAGAAACTTGGGTTCCTAGACATCATAGAAGGAACTGCAATGAAAAATAGTACTAAAAAATCATTCAGAAAGTGCCAGGTGGAGGCTCATCTTAAGATCCTGGAAAATGGAGCCTTACTTATGGAAAAGCTGCCAAGGACACCTGCTAAGGAGATGGGACGTGGGCTTGAAGAACTCCAGTGCTCCAGGAAGGAAGTGCTCCCCACCAGATCACATCCCAGAAAATACAGAAGCAGCCAAGTGTCCATGTAGTTTGATTATATTTGTATGTGAGAGGCGGCCTTGAGGATGTCTTTTCTGAATGGAGATCAACAGCACTAGTCAACTTAGCCCTCTTCTTGTTCGTTTAAGAAAAGTTTGGTTTGCTTCCATCACCGTGGGCATTTTGCCTGAATAGACAGTTCAACTAACTTCGTGAGAAGGAGAAGTGTTATCTGATGAAAAGAGAAATATATTTGGCTGAAATTCACTGAAGTGAAATATGTTTCATGCATGCTTTATTTTTATGGAGGTCTTCTTGAGACAGCCACAGGTGCTAGCATCTCATCAAAACCTAACAGTGTTGCTGAAAACTGGTAGTAGTAGCAGCAGCAGCAGTGGTAGTCATAGTCAGTGGTGGTGGTAGCCTACGTAAGCTACTAGACTGGGCTAATGGAGGGAGTTCATCGGGGCTGGGTGTCCCTTAGTCGTTGGGTGGTTCTCCACTCCCACCGCCTCTCCATGGCAAAGAGGGCATGCGGATGCTTTCTTGTCAATAGTTGCATTTGGTTTTTCATTTAGACGTCTCCGCCCAGTTTAAGCATGTAGGCAGTGGATGGGAAAGGAGGCAGATGAATAATTTTTATATTAGTAATGAACTGTTAGTGCAGTTTACCTATGCTGGTGTTCTGTTTAAATGCAGATCCCTAGATACCCTGCTGGGTATCCAGACTTCCGCTAGGGAGATTTGAGTCACATTTGAGAATCGCTAATATAGATGTTGCTCTGGCATAGTGACCTACGCTGTTTCTAGGGGTACCTTTAGTGCCCTCGTGTTTTTGTAAGTCTCTGCTGGAAAAGTTACTGGCACTTGTTCTAGTGGAAAAGATTGATTACGCAGCTTCAAAAAAATGAAATAATATGAAATGTAATGTAAGGGAATGTAATGACGTGTAGAGAAAGTGGGTCACCCATGTGAGCCTCTCTCCCAGGGCTGTGTGCTCTCCCCCTGCTCTTGGAGTTTCTTCTCTCTTTTGGGCTACAGACAGTAACTGGAGGCCAGCTAGACCTTGTTTTGTGAGGCGGAGAGTGAGTGAGGTGTGTAGGGTGTCTGCAGGACTCTGAGAGTGCCTCTGAAATTTGTCACCCTAGGTACCTCGGGCATGTCCCCTAGCGTGGCCCTGAGGCCTGGGCTAGTTGGTGATCTCCTTAGAAATGGGTCCCTTCCCTGACGGAAGCTCCCTCAACTTGGCCCTCCCTGCCTATGCTGGTGCCCCTCAATTCACCCTTTCCTGCCAGGACTGTGATAGAGTGTGAACTTGACTCATCGCATGTCAAACCTGAGTTAGGTGCTCCACTCCTGCCCCCTCCCCCCCAACTAGATTGTTATCCTCGGACTCTTAAGGCTACAGTTCTGTCTCGTGGCCCCTCCATGCCCCACCCGAAGGAGGTGCTCCTCAAAAGTTTAAGGCAGAATTTATTTATAGTAAATGAAAATGTTATTGTTTCGAATTCTGGTCTTTAACATTGTATTGTTCACTTCTTTATTTTAAAATCTTGGATACTTTATCTAAAATGTGAGGTTTTTAGAAGGTATCAGAAAGCTCATATGTATATAAGCCTTTATTTCTGTGCATTATAGAAATATTACGGGTTCATTGTATGGCATGTACTGATTAATGTGCTCATGATACAAATGATCCTTTCAAGGGGGAAGATCTTTTCTTTGTAAATGTCATTGAACTACTTTCTCTTTGTTGAGACTGTTTCTCTTTGGGGCTGAAATATTTCTCAGAGACCTGGGTGCCCACGTTCTGCCCGTAGAGAGTATGTGAGGCTGTGCTCCTGTTTCTGGGAACTACCTGCTGTGGACTGTTTCTCACATTTCAGGGCTATGCCTGTACACCTCACATTCCCACTGTAACCCTCTGTGGAGGTATTATCAGCACAATTTTTTAAGCACAGGAAACTGAGATGTAGAGTCTTAAAAAATGGGTAGCCTGCAGTCTCTCAGTAAATGATGGTGATGCAGGGTCCACACCTCAATCTTTGACTCCAAAGCCATCGTTCATTTGCTGCTTTTTTTTTTAATTGGAAAAAAATTTTAAATATGGAAAATTATACAGAATGATAAAAACAAAAACCCATGTACTTTCCTCTAGAATTGACAAATGTTAACATTTTGGCATATTTCAGATTTTTTTCTAAATAAAAGAAAACATTACAGGCAAAGAAGAGGTTCTCTTTTTACTCTTCTCCAGTTCTGATCTTTTTTCTTCTTCCCCTCTCTCTCCCCCTTCAGAGGCAATTTGGTCTGTATCCAGGCCATGTTTCTGTGCTCTTATGCATACACGTGTATCTATTATCAGTATGTAGCTTTGTTTATGTATTTAAAATGTATGTAAATTTTTGTTTATAATAGATAAATAAGCAGATTTTATCGTGTATAGTTTACAACTCTTCTCCCCAATTTTGTTTTTGATGTTGTTACATAAATATCTAAATTATTTCATTTTAATGGCTGTCTACTATTCCACTATATGAATATATTTTAATGTATCCTATTGATAGACATTTAGCTTGTTTCCAAGTTTTTATTCTTTTACAAATGATGCCAAACATGTCTCTGTGCTTCTCTAGCTATGGAATATACTTAGGGAGGAATTGCTTGGGCCTGGGTTGGCACAATTTCACATGTCCTAGATGTTGCTGCCCAATTGGTCTCCAAGGTGTGGACGTGCTTCCACCTATCACATATGGAGGGTAGATTTCTCCACATCCTCACCACCTCTTGGCATTGTTGGACTATCATTTTAGCCAGTTGTGAAACAGTGTCCCTTTGTTTTAATTTTAATTTGCATCAGTCTGATTGCTACTCATAATGGCTGAGGTTGAGCATCTTTTCCTAAGCTTACTCACCATGCAGGCTTCCACCCTCATGAATTGGCTGTTCACGTCTATTGTTCATTTTCTGCTTGGTTGTTTTTCATTTTTTTCTGCTGACTTGTGGGGACTCTGTATACTATCAATGTCCATCATTTATCAAAAAATATTTGGGTGCCATTATCTTCTCTCGGTCAATGGTGTTTGTTTGTTTGTTTGTGGTATTTTGTATAAGAGACAAGTTTTTCATTTTTGGCATAACGTTATCAGTCTTTTTGTGCTGTGTTATGTGTCTTGTCTGTCTGTCATAGGGATATTTTTTGTGATAGCTTTAGAGTTGTGTTTTTCATCTTCAGATCTTTAATTATAACCCCACACTTGCACCCTCCATCCTCTCCCTAGCTCTGTTTGTCTCCCCAGCACTTATCGTTTTGTAATAGGTCCTACACTTCACTTCTCTGTTTTGCTTATTTCCTTGTTGTCTTTTTTCCTCCACTAGCATGTAAGCTCCACGAGGGCAGTTGTTTTGTCTACTTTGTTCATGGCTGTACCCCTAACGCCTGGAATAGTCACTGGCATATAGTAGGTGTTCAATAAATATTTGCTGAACAAATAATCATCCATGTGGAATTCATTTTTTGTGTATATGGTATGAATAGGGCTCCACCTTTCTTGGGGGGTGGGCGGCTCATGGAAGGCTTGTTTTTCTAACAGCATTTATTGAATAGTCTGTCCTTGCCCCACTGATTTTTTCATGCCACCTTTATCAGGCTGGAGTTTTTTCCCTTGTGTCACTGTCTTTAAATATTCCTGTTGTCCTGCCCCTGTGCTGAAGTCTGCAGGAAACCCATACCTCACACATAGGAGTGGGAATGGGGGTGATGAGAAACCAGGTCCAACTTATAGGGAGCTCTTCTCTGATGGATCAGTCAGTGAACATTTAAGAAGGACATTTTGTGAACCAAGTGCAAGAATGAACGTGAGTTCCTGACCTCAGAGAACTTTCTGGTTGACATTAAAACTTATTAGAACTCAAGGCAGAATATGAGTGTTCAGCAGGGCATGACTGTGTGCTGGGGACACAGAAGCTGGAGAACCTGGTGGTTAAGCTCGTAGGTTTCAAGTAAGTTAAATCTGGCTTTGCATCCTGCCTCTGCTCCTGACTGGGGTTTATATCTTGAGCAAGTTACTTATCCTCTCTAACATTCAGCCTCCTTGTCAACAAAATGGGAATGATGATAATAGTACCTGCTTCGAAGGTTGTCATAGGAATTGACTGATAACTGATATAGTGAATTCATGCTAAAGGCTTAGCACAGTGCCCGTAAATGTCCACTAATTCTGGTGTGGGTGCAGAGTCTTTAGAGAGGAGGTGATATGTGACCAGGTCTTGCAGGATGGGTTGGATTTTTCTAGGCAGAGATTGAATGGGTGGAAAAGGATATGCCAGACAAGATACAGAATAAACAAAAAACAAAAACCTGGAGACCAGAAAGTAGAGGGTGAGTTGAGGGAGCATTAATCAAGTTTGACCGGATTGCAGGAGGGAGTGGTGATGAAGAGGCTGGAAATGTAGGTTGAGACCAATTGTGGTGGGTTATCAGCAACAAGCCAAGAAAATGTCCTTTATTACTCTGCTCCAAATTCCTCAATGGCTCCCATTGCCTGATCAGATCTGAGCCCCAGAGTGATGCCTCTGAACAGGGTGTGCTGGGCAAATAGGAGGGGAAAGGGGAGGAATGGCGTCTAGGAGGCTCCCAGGAGAGCCCTGGCCCATGCAGGGGAGGGTTCATATTCTGGGGCACTTGAACTTTGGGAACTTTTTTTTTTTTGCTCAAGAAGATTCGCTCTGACCTAACATCTGTTGCCAATAGTCCTCTTTTTGCTTGAGGAAGATTTGCCCTGGCATCTGTGCCAATCTTCCTTTGTTTTGTATGTGGGTCGCCGCCACAGCATGGCCACCAATGAGTGGTGTAGGTTCACGCCTGGGAACTGAACCCAGGCCGCCAAAGCAGAGCACGCCGAACTTAACCACTAGGCAACAGGGCTGCCCCAGGAACATTATTTATTTATTTATTTATTTTTATTAAGTTAATGATAGGTTACAATCTTGTGAAATTTTAGCTGTACATTATTGTTTGTCAGTCGTGTTGTAGGAGCACCACTTCACCCTTGGTGCCCACCCCCCACCCCACCTTTCCCCTGGTAGCCACTAATCTGTTCTCTTTGTCTACATGTTTAAATTCCTCATATGAGTGGAGTCATACAGAGATTGTCCTTTTCTATCTGGCTCATTTCACTTAGCATGATTCCCTCAAGGTCCATCCACGTTGTTGCACATGGGACGATTTTGTTCTTTTTTACGGCTGACTAGTATTACATTGTATATGTATACCACATCTTCTTTATCCAATTGTCTGTTGATGGGCACTTAGGTTGCTTCCACGCCCAGGAACATTTTTTAAAATACCAGCTCTGTGCCTGTTGTGGAGCAGGGTTCTTCCATTACATCATCTCATTACGAGTCTGAAAGAATTCCCTCCCTAGACATTCCTGTTCAGTGTGTGGCGTTTGGGCCCTGATACTGCATCCATCAGGGGAAGCACGGGATAGAGAGCCTTAGAGCATCCTCTTCTCCACATCTCCATTCCACCTTCCTCCTCTCAAGTCACAGAGGAGAAAAGAACAGGCCAAAGACTTAGAGCCCCAGCAAATCCTTTGTAAAAGAAGATATCACCTGCCGACGTTCTTTCCAGCCTTGCCTAACCCCCCCTGCCCCCCCCCGCCCCCGCAGCATTGCAGTGATGGCTTGTCATCACAGGGAGGATGGAGGCAAACCTCTGATCATCAGTGTGGTGAATGGAAGAGCCTGTGCCTTGACATCAGAGAGATGGGGGTTTAGATCTCAGGCCTGCCAGCATCGAGCTCTGGGGTGGCCAACTGTCCTGGTTTGCCTGTGGATGAGAAGGTTCTTGGCACATGAGACTGCCAGTGCTAAAACCTGGAAAGTCCCAGGCAATCTGGGATGAGTTGGTCACCCTCTTTAGCCCAGTGGTCTGAACCTTTCCCTTGCCCCATCAGCAGTTGCAGGTGCATCCTATTGCAGGGGGTACCAGATATCACTCTGCCTGCTCCCTTTATTGCACTCACTTGTGCATTTCTTGCTCCATTTACTGGCTGCTTTCCTCACCAGGAGGTTTGTTCCCTGAAGGTGGAGACCAGGTCTTCCTAGCTCACTGCTGTGCTCCCAGCTTCTCACACTGGGCCTGATACAGAGGTGATCACAGGTGATGGCTGAGGGAATGAATGGACAATGAAACTCTAGGAACCTCAGTTTCCTCCTCTATGGGGCTAAGCACCCTTAGGGTTGTTTCTCAGAATAGTGAGCTGACCCAGCAAAAGCCCTGGTACCCAGTGTACCCTCTTTCTTCCTTCCCAGTGGATGCATGCAGATTGGAAAGCCAGATCATTCATCCTTTCCTGATGTTTCTATAGCCTGGTCACTTTTAGGCATCCAGGAAAATCAGGGTGCTATTCCTCTCCTTAAAGAGAAGTTAGGTTATCTTTAATATAAGATAGAAATTGAACCGAATTAGATTATTTTACCTCAGAAGCCAGTTTCAACTCATCCTTTTGAATGCTATGGTTCTATTATTATATATTACTTCAAACTTAATAGAAAAAAATTGATTAAAATATGTGCCCTGTTCATATCTAGCCTGGCTGAATGCCACAAGACACATTAATTGAAAATGAATTTCTACAAACCCAATCAAGCCTCATGAAGATGAAAAATGTACCTTTTTTCTCCATTCCTTCATTGATTTTTCATTTTCCCCACTCAGAGCTTCATTTAGCAATTTTTCAGGTTCGTTTTGTTGTGGCCTTAATTCATTCCCTTCACTCCCCCTAAAATGAGATAATGTTCCATTTTCCTTGTCCTTTTGAAACTGTTCTTTCATACTGCATCAGGGCAGGGCAGAATCTGAGCTAGTCATACCTCCCTATGCGTTATTGTTTTTTAGGAAAAGAGAGTAACTTTATTGTTTTTTAAATTCTTACTGTGGTGGTTTTTATCAAGGAGAATGCACTTTAAAAATACAACAACTATGAAATTACAGTGCTACAAGACTTCTAAAATAGAATTAAGAGAAGCTGTAGTAAAAGTAAAGAAGCTTTTCCGATGAAGAGTGTAAAACCTCGATTATTCTCATTTTTCATGGTGGGGCATATGAGGATCAAGCAGGATTCCTATTTTATTGAGGGAAGTGGAGACCACTATGAGCCATATCATAGAGGAAACAAGAGGGTGGATTGCAAACAAGGCCCTGTCAGGACAGGAGGAGGCAAAGGGAGAAGGCAACTAAAGCCCTGAGTGAGTTGCAGAAGGTTCTTGCCTCTCCTGTTCTATTCCTGCCCCGTTCGGTTCACGGATTCACTAGATCTCTAGGGGTTTTGAAAACAGTAATGGGGATCTTCAAGCTATTTTCTGTGAAATTTTCAAATAATCTCACAGCATAAATTTCCCCTGAGAAGTCTGCAGGGGCTCTCGCTGAAGTATCCCATTGCTTTACTTGGACCTAGAAGTCGTAATCCCGCTTATCTCATTTTGATTAGAAGCTTTGGTTGGCAGTTATTCATCTTTGATGCGTTTTTCCATTGAGAAAATGAATTATTTCTTCATAAATGCAGTTTAAAGTCGAAAGTCTTAAATGAGGGCCCATGGGAAGAGGGAACAAAGTGGAGGTGTTGGTGACAGAGGTTGGGAAACTTTATTTATTAATGTGTGGTCGAGTTAAGTGTTACACACACACGCACACACACACAGCCCTCACACCCTGATTTTGAATAAATGTGCCTGTGGGCCTTAATTGATTATTCCAAAAGTTAGAATGAAAAAAAAAACAAATTTCAAGGAAAATAAACAATAATATCATAAACTTAAACAGTTTGGATTAAAAAAATCAAATTCCCTTTCCCTTATGAGATTTTAAACAATTTGATTAAATGTGACATCAGTTTTAACATACTTTCTAGTATCATGCTCTGTTTCAGTGCGTTTCCTGTTTTATGTAAGGCATTTTTCAGATGCATATATATTATCATTTTCCAGCTGGTAAAGCTAAACAGCTCAAAGCACGATTTCTTAAAAACACCATATCAAGTGCTGTCTGATATTTAATATTTATTTGCTGCTGCATTTTTTATATTCATTAATTTCTCATCACATCCCCAACCTCAGTATTGAATTGTTTCATGAGTCTTGCACAACTGGGTACTATTCACAAATTCTAATTATAGAGCTCTATCATATTCTGACATTTCACACAAAATGACCCGTGTCCTACATGTCTGTCACTAATGGAAAAAAATTCCAGGCAGCTGAGAAGACTTGCAACCTGTGGGGTTGCTCTGAATCCCTAACAGGACCTTACTAAAATTTTGTACAATTTCATTTTGGTTTAGTTGACATACAAGCTCTTTTTGAAAGGAATTGGGAGGAATCCTTTCACTATGGCAATCTGTTTCCAAAGCAGTTTATAAAAATGTGCAGATTGACAAGGGTGATTTCATCTCCTAAGAGAACTGCTCTTTTATGTAAGACAGTTGATACAC